GGAATTGTCATCCCAAGGAAGTGTCACCCTAAGGAAGTGTCACCCCATAGAAGTGACACCCCAATGAAGTGTCACCCCACAGAAGTGTCACCCCCAGGAAGCGTCACCCCATGGAATTGTCATCCCAAGGAAGTGTCACCCTAAAAAAGTGTCACCCTAAAAAAGTGTCACCCCATAGAAGTGTCACCCCCAGGAAGTGTCACCCCAAGGAAGTGTCACCCCATAGAAGTGTCATCCCATAGAAGTGTCACCTCATAGAAGTGTCACCTCATAGAAGTGTCACCCCATAGAAGTGTCACCCCCAGGAAGTGTCACCCCAAGGAAGTGTCACCCCATGGAAGTGTCACCCCATGGAAGTGTCACCCCATAGAAGTGTCACCCCATGGAAGTGCCACCCCATGGAAGTGCCACCCCATGGAAGTGTCACCCCAAGGAAGTGTCACCCCATGGAAGTGTCACCCCCAGGAAGTGTCACCCCATGGAAGTGTCACCCCATGGAAGTGTCACCCCACGGAAGTGACACCCCAAGGAAGTGTCCCCCCATAGAAGTGTCACCCCATGGAAGTGTCACCTCATAGAAATGTCACCCTACAGAACTGCCACCCCCAGGAAGTGTCACCCCATAGAAGTGTCACCCCATGGAAGTGTCACCCCCAGGAAGTGTCACCCCCAGGAAGTGTCACCCCATAGAAGTGTCACCCCACAGAAGTATCACCCCATAGAAATGTCACCCCATGGAAGTGTCACCCCAAGGAACTGTCACCCCAAGGAAGTGTCACCCTACAGAAGTATCACCCCATAGAAGTGTCACCCCAAGGAAGTGTCACCCTCCCCGTGCTGTGGGAAACCCCCTGGCTGAGGCAGGAAGTTGTGGGAAGCGCCGGTTTGGGGATGCCAGGAATTTGCTGGAATGTGCCTCGGGAATACTCGGGAAGGTGCCTCGGGCTCAGGTATTCCCGGGATTCCCCCTTACCAGGGGGCTGGGATCAGCCTGGGAGAAGATGTAGCGCAGGAAGACCCCCAGGTGAGCCGGCCGGGATTTCAGCTTTCCCAGGTCCTGGAAGAGGGAGTCGCACTGGGAAGAGAAGGGAAGGGAAGGAACCACTTAGGAAAGGAAGGAATTCACTCCTCTGGATCCACAGCCCGGCTCCCGAATCCCACCTCCTCGGGATCAACCCAGGGTGTCTCCTGGGAGAGGGATTTGAAATCCCACCAGGTCTGGGGGGAGGGGGGTCCATAAAGGGGCGAGGGGACAAAAAAATCCCGGGAATACCTCGTTGTTGAAATACCCCGGATCACAATCCTCCTCCGGGCCGATGATCAGGGGCCTTCCCGGCCGCTCCTGCCCAGGGAAAGGGGTGGGAATTAGGAGCCAGGAGCCCGGATCCCGAGGGGAATCCTGTGTATTCCCGAAGTTCTGGATCCCCTGGATGAGCTCCCACCCACCTGCTCTGCCACGGATGGGAAGGGGCTGTCGGAGCCCTGGCGCCGATGGTGCTGGAAAAGCCGGGAGGAGATGATGGGGGAGGTCCGGGGGCTTTCCAGGCCGTGGTCGGAGAGGGTGGAATTCCGGTTCAGGGAGACCTGCTCGGCACGGGGAGACACCGGGAACGTGAGGCTGAGGCACCCGAGAGCAGCTCCCAGCTCAAGATTCCACAAAAACATAAAACCCCGGGAACGGGGGGAAAACACAAAACCCCTCTGGGAGAAGTTTTGGATTGGGAGCATGAGGTGGGAATTTGGGGGGATCCCTCGTTTTCGGGGGGTAAACGTGACGAGCCCAAGGAATTCTGAGCTGCAAGGAATTCCATTGGTTCAGGTGACAAACAGTTCACTGGGATTACAAAAGGAGGTCCCGAGGATTCCCGGGGTGATCCAGCCCCGTTCCCGGGGCGCAGGGAAAGTCGGGAAACCCCTCCCTCACCTCACTCACAGAGGGGAATCGCTCTGTCCCGGATTCCAAGCCGCTGTCCCCATCCTGGGAGTCCAGGGAGAGGCGTCCTGGGAGCAGAGGAGAGGCTGATCCACGTGTCCAGGAGCTGGGAACACCGGGATGCTCCAGGAACACCGGGATGCTCCGAGCCGCCGGCACCACTCACCTTCCACCGACCTGAACCCGGCCACGCTGGAGTCGCTGCTCAGCCTGGAATCCTGCAGTGGGAGAGGGGTGGGATCACTGGGAGGGTGGATTCAGGATTCAAGGACAGGGATGAGGGAACTCGGAGCAGTTCCCCTCGCTTGAGGTTTGGGAAAAGCAGGGATGTCTCTGCCGCCGTTCCCACCACGATCCCGACACCTTGGAAAGGTGCTCCCAGGCTCAGAGGGAGCCAGAAGGATGGGGGGGTGACTCCCCTGAATCCACCCACCAGGGAATTCCCGGTCTCCTGGAGGATTTTGAGCTGGAGCTGGCTGACCCTGCGGCGCGCGCCCTCGATCTGCTCCTCCACGGCCGCTCCGGGGTTCCGGCTGTACAGCTCCTGGAAGCGCTGAGGGGAAAAGAGAGGGGACCTTCAAACCCACCCCAAACCCACAAACCCCAGCCCACAGCCCCACCAGGAAGGGTTGGAGGGTGCCCAGACAGCTGTGGGTGCTCCATCCCTGGAAGGGTTGGATCGGGACGGAGCGACCGGGGCGAGCAGGAGGTGTCCCTGCCCTCGGATGATCCTTCAACCCAAACCATTCCATGATTCCACCACGGGCTGGAGCCTCTTTGTGCTGCCCCAGCAGCACCAGGACATGGCCAAGGGTTGCTCCAAGGAGAAAAAAAAGAGGGAAAAAGAGGGAAAAAGAGGGAAAAGAGCCTCCATACCTGCAGCTCCGCCTCCTCCTGCCGCAGCATATTCCGCAGGATCTGCGTGGCGTGTTTCTGCACCTCTGGGTCCTGCAATTCCACAGGGAATTCCTCAGTTTTCCCTCCCTCCCGTCTCCCAGGTCGAGGGGGAACGGGGCAGGGTGGGTTGGGGGGGGGTCTGGTGTGACCTGGAGGGGTCTGGGGTCGGTGATTCGCTGCGGCGGCGGCGGCGGCGGCGGGGGGGGACACGCGGGGGGGACGTGGGGGGATCCCGTTGTTCCCGCATCCTGCTGGGAGCTGGGAACCCCCACGGAGGGAGGGGGGGATCCCAGCAGGGTCAGAGCGACGTAGGCGCCGGCTGGAAAAAGGTGGGAGAGGGAGAAAGGTCTCCGTGATTCACTCGCGGAACTCGACGCGACCCAACGCAACCCAAGTCAACCTGAACTCGACCTAAACTCAGCCCAACTCAACCTAAACTCGACCTAAACTCAGCCCAAATCAACCTGAACTCGACCTAAACTCAGCCCAACTCAACCTAAACTCAGCCCAAATCGACCTGAACTCAGCCCAAATCAACCTGAACTCGACCTAAACTCAGCCCAAATCAACCTAAACTCAGCCCAAATCAACCTA